ATCTGCTTTCGTCTCCGGATGCAGTCGCACAAGAGAATTCCGTGACTGCAATGCTTAATTTGTCGATCTACGAAAAGAATAAAAGCCGAATTATGGACGAAATCGGGTGTCTAGAATTGATAGTTGGAGTTTTAAGGTTCGGGCACACGTCGGAGGCGAGGGAAAACTCTGCAGCGACATTATTCAGCCTCTCCGCTGTTCACGACTATAAGAAAAGAATTGCGGAACAAGATGGCGGAGTAGAAGCATTGGCGGGGCTGTTGAGAGATGGGTCACTGAGAGGGAAAAAGGATGCGGTGACAGCTCTATTCAACTTATCTACTCACACGGAGAACTGCGCGAGAATGATAGATTCCGGAGCTGTCAACGCGTTAGTCGGGGCGTTGGGATGCGAAGGGGTAGCCGAAGAAGCAGCCGGTGCGTTGGCACTGATTGTCAGGCAGCCAATCGGGGCAGCCGCAGTTGGGAAGGAAGAAACAGCGGTGGCAGGGCTAATCGGGATGATGAGATGCGGGACGCCTAAAGGGAAAGAGAACGCAGTTGCAGCGTTGCTCGAGCTGTGTCGAAGCGGCGGGGAAGCTGCAACCGAGAGGGTGTTAAAGGCACCTGCCTTGGCAGGATTGCTTCAGTCGCTGCTCTTCACCGGGACAAAACGCGCGCGGAGAAAAGCAGCATCGCTCGCCCGGGTTTTCCAGCGGTGTGAGCACGCCTCGATGCACTATGGCGGGTTGGGCGTAGGATATGCATTTGCAGGAAACTCGGCCACCACTAGAGATACAACTTTTGCGAGTGATGTCTCGGTGCAAATGTCCATTTCTGTGCCAGTATTATAATGGTAACCATCCATCATCTGTTGTTCTCCCCTCCATTATGTAACCTTTTTTTGTTTGTAATACTCGAAAAAAAAAATTCTTTTATTGATCTATAAATGCCACAAAATAAAAAGATTAGAAATGCCATACATCAATTCAATTAGTCTCTCTGTGCTTTTTTGTATTGGGGTGAAATATGATCATATAATGGAGTTGTAATGCCTTTTTGTTGCAAGGCTCATTAGATCCAACAGGAAATCATAGGCAGTGATAATGCAACTTGGTACTTGCCATAGTTTATGAATCCGTATTTTATCCAAATTTTCATATTGTTCTAATATACGCATTCCGTATACTTTTCGAGAAACAATACTAATTCAATCAAGTTAGCTAAGCTTTCAGTGACTTTCTCGAGACAAGACTAATTCAGTAAAGTTGAATTATATTTATAATAGCTCTCGAGATACCAGACTAATTCAATAAAATTAGTTGAGCTTTCAGCGATTTTCTCGAGACAAGACTAATTAAGTAAAGTCAGATGAGCTTTATTCGGAACAGAACATCTCTTTCGAAATAAGACTAATTCAGTAAAGTTTGCAGTTCTATTACGTTTCTCTTGCTATATATGCATACCATTTCTAAGTTTCTCTTGCTAATGTCGGCAGACCATTTCTTGGTGAATTTGTCTAAATTCATTCAAGTGGATGAATGGTGACTAGTAAGTAATAATGCCTAAAATAAGTATTAGAAAGTTTGTGGATATCATTTTTAATTAAGTGGTCAATGCGCCTAATATTCTGATCTCAGCTATGGAGATTAAAAAGCATAAACAAAGATTAATGGCTGTCACGAAATCGCATTATGATGTATTTGTTTATATGTATTAAATCTTGTATCATTGTACTTTATGTAAAAGTTAGCATATAATATACACACGTGCAATCCAACTATTAATTTAGTCTTTTAGTTGAGATAAATCACATATTTAAATTTGATATTAGAGTCAACTCCATGTCAAAGGTATGAGTTCAAATCAAAAGTAATCAACCCACACATATGAGGATGCGTGTTTAACATATAATATATACACATAAATGTGAAATCAACTGTAGAGATGATAGACAACATGTGATACATTATTAATAAAATAAAATAAGAACACCAAGCATATGTTTGAATCAACTACTCATAGGATATCATCATTGACCACTTCCCAGTAGTGGGTTGCTCTAACATGAGGTGGGTTGCTCTAACATGAGACTAGATTACTGGTAACAATGAAATAAATGTTCTTCTCGTGTTGCTTTTCATTGTGTTGAGTATATGATATATATAAATATAAATTTGTAATTTAATTATTAGAATATAGTAATGGGCTAATTTTTTGAGCACAACTTTATATGATTGATCAATCTAAAGTAAGGTTAATAGTCTGCTTCGCTGGTAATTGCGGTGTAATAGTGTCTGAGTCCTAATACAGCCTTCTAGGGACTAATCTTTTGAGCACAACTTATATGATTGATCAATCTAAAGTAAGGTTAATAATTTGCTTCGCTAGTTGTCACGGTGTACTAGTGTTTAAGTCCTACTGCAGCCTTCTAGGGACTAGTCTTTTGAGCACAACTTATATGATTGATCAATCTAAAGTAAGGTTAATAGTCTGCTTCGCTGGTAGTTGCGGTGTAATAGTGTCTGAGTCCTAATACAGCCTTCTAGGGACTAATATTATGCACAAATTATATGATTGATCAATTTAAAATAAGGTTAATAATTTGCTTCGCTGGTAGTCACGGTGTACTAGTGTCTGAGTTCTACTAAAGCCTTCTAGGGACTAGTCTTTTGAGCACAACTTATATGATTGATCAATCTAAAGTAAGGTTAATAATCTGCTTTGTTGGTAGTCACGATGTACTAGTGCCCGAGTCCTACCGCAACATTTTAGGGACTAGTCTTTTGAGCACAACTTATATAATTGATCAATCTAAAGTAAGGTTAATAGTCTGTTTCGCTGGTAGTCGCGGTGTATTAGTGTATGTCTGAGTCCTACTGTAGCCTTCTAGGGACTAGTCTTTTGAGCACAACTTATATGATTGATCAATCTAAAATAAGGTTAATAGTCTGCTTCGCTGGTAGTCGCGGTGTATTTGTGTTGAAGTCCTACTATCGCCTTCTAGGGATTGATCTAAGGCCACAACTTATATGATTGAACAATCTAAAGTAAGGTTAATAGTCTGCTTTGCTGGTACTCACGGTATACTCGTGTCCAAGTCCTACTATTTCCTTCTAAGGACTGATCTAAGGCGGTTGAGACTCATCTCGAGAGGAATTCTCGAGTTTGGAGTGCAAATCTTTTACGAAGTAATATAGTGATGGGCTAATGGTAAATAAAGGAAATCAAGTTGGTGTTGGTTCTTAGAGGATGGTGGGAAGAAAAGAAAAAAAAAAAAAAAAAGCATTTTCTTCTTTAAAATGATGGTGTCTGCACCATTTGGTATTCCAGAAAGCCGATACCATCCATTGTTTTGTTTACTATATATAAATATATGGGATCCAACTTCACTATATACTTATAGTATATGATATTTGATGATTTTGCTTTGCCTTTCTTTTTCAGCAATCTTCTTCTGCATTATGGTTCGTTGACCTATCATTATCGGCGTGTATTAGACTAAAGCAATAATATAATCAGTGACTCCACTAAAGAGCATCATCCTCTTTCTTGATGGCATTGAAATGATAGCCTGGTGTTGTGGTGGTGGTGCCGGTGGTGCATGGTGTGGTATTTTGAAGATGAATACTTTATCATGTGGGATAAAGTGTAGTATATATTACTATATTTGTATATATTACTATATAAAAATTCGTTTGGAAAGTAGAAAGTGACTTTTTGAATATATATATATTAGAAAATGAGTCATTTTCTAGAAAACATTTTACTTTTCCGTGTTTGGCTGCATAACAGAAAACTGTCTTTATGTGTTTAGTTCATTTTTCAAAAAATGAATAGGAAAATGAGCACAACAAAATAACCAAGGAGAGATCACAAAATTACCGCTCGGAAACTAGTCGGCCAGACTGGTGTCGCATACGAAACCAGTTGGCCAGACTAGTTTCTGTTTGGTTTCTAAAACCAGTCACGCCGACTGATTTTCGGAACCAGTCACGCCGACTGGTCATTTTCTCAAAAACCAATGGCCTTAAGGCGAAGAAGTAGCCAACTGAAAAGAAGGCTGCAGCAAAGAAGGTTGTCACAGCCGAAAAGGCTCTAGCAGGGAAGAAGTCGAAGGCCGACAAGAAGCTCCCAAAGGACGGCGAAGCAGCGGCGGGAGACAAGAAGAAGAAGAGGACGAAGAAGTTGAGCTTGGTAAAAATTAAGGACGAGGAAGTCGAGCAAGGCGACTTGGCCTGTAGAGAGGGCAGAGCTTGGTGAAAGACTTGAAAAATAATTTCCCTAAAAAAAAAAGAAAAGGGAAGTCATTTTCCTAAAAAACATACTCATTTTCCATTGACTAAGAGCATATTTTCTATTGGCCTTATTTTTCCCTCTTGACAAATACTGGAAACTCAGAAAATGATTTTCAGAAATCATTTTTCGGGTTTCTAAACACACCCTAAAATGTACTGGAATAAATTTAATTGATAAAAACCTAACTGTTTAGAACAATTGATAAGCTAACTACGGACATAATAGTTCAGTTCTTCAAAACAAGTTACATGGTGAAAAAAATTCCACCTAAAAAACAAACAAACCAAGTTGGACCCCCTAGTGGGTAGAAGGGAGTGGTGGTGGGGAGGGAGATTCTTGTTCTCTTTCAGCAATTGGATAAATACAGCCTATATAAACCCAACAGATGAAACAATCCATAACCAACCTGCCAATATAAGGTAGGATGACCAATTCTTGTATATGTGCACCACATTAAGAGGTTTTGGGCTAGATATCGAGTAGAGTCAAGTCTATGGGCATAATTCGGACCACAAGAAAAATATTGTACAAAAACCATCTAAAGTGTTTACTCAGTACATACACTCAGATAGTGGTTACGGATTTCTCTCGTCACTCAACAAAAAACCATCTAAAGAGCAGCCAAAGTTGCAAGCTGGAAACATAAGAATGAATAGCATCAGATAGTTTTTTCACAGCTTGCAAACTTGTAGGGACCTGAGAAAACTTCTTGGGTCACTGTCTCAAACAAAACCAAAGCTGACAGATTTATTAGTGTAACTTCTAATGAAAAGAAGAATTCTTCAACCAATTCAACGGTTTGCAATTCCAAGCAGGAAAATTTCAATCAATCAACATAATTAGACGTAAAATTAGCATGATATATATAGAATGTAGAATGTAAGCGACAGCATAAGAATCAACTATAAGCATCGTGCAAAGCATAGTGGTACTAATGATTCAATATCTCTATCTACTCCCTGATTTTAAAAACAGAATATGCATTTACGAAAAGAATATTACGTAATCAACCGAATCAGGTTCTCTCGGCTTGAGTAAGATGTCCTGGCTGTTCTGTAAGGTTATTTACATTATTCTTGTTCCACCAAAACTTTGCGAGGTCAACTGGTTTTCTTTCACTTTTTCGGCCATCATAATCTTTCCTTTCTGACTGTACCTCCAGTGGATCAGTCGAGCCAGGATTCTCAGTAAGAAACTGCTCCCAGAACACATCGTTTACTCGGGTTGGCACGTTTGTGGCTATCCCTGGTACTTCTGCTTGCTCTTTCGTCGGGATTATGGGACCAGGGTTTGCATTAGGCTCTGAATTTACATCGATTCTAGAAGTGTTAGCTCCAACTTCCCCGCTTAGCTGTGATACAGATGGGCTACCTGCACAGCTTGTAGATTCATCCACTTCTAGAGCTGAATTCAGTTGGATCCCGGTTTGACAAACAGATTGTAACATATTCTCCCAGAAGATCACAGAAGACTCCAATCGATCTAACCATTCTCCATTTACAAAAGAAGTGGTCAAAATTTGTGAAGAGCTCTCTTGATAGTCCATGTAATTGTTTCTTGGAAACCTTCTCTTTCGATCGTGTAATTCCAATCGAGGCACGAGGCCTATAGCGAGCTCTGATTTATCTAACATTTGAGATAAGGTGGATAACATGCCCTTGTGGCGTTGCTCTACTTGCTGCACACGTTCAGACAACCCTTGCATTTGGAACGCGAATCCTCGCTGGTCTTCTTCGTGTCTTTTTAGTTCCAACTGAAGTGACTCCTTAACACTCTTTAGCTTTTCGATATCATCCTTGTACCCTTGCCTTTCCGATTCATTCAATGGAGAAGAATATTGAAGATTCTTCGCGGAATGACTGTGAACTGGCTTGCGCCTATGGATGTTCTTCAAAAGGTGAGGGTGACCTCTAACAAAGTCCTCATTCGCAAATTCCCATTGCTCAGGATCGGCTTTCTTGAATCCCTGGTTAACAAGAAAGTAAAGAGTTTCAGTATAGAATCAAGATCACAAACCTAGGACTAAACGTTTATCTTACATAAGTATTTAGCTGTCTGATAAAACTCGAGAAGTTGCTGTGTTTGAAGTATTTAGGCAACAAATCCCTGCAAAATTCCTGTGGGTTCTTGACAATGAAGTTCTTGTTGTTCTGGCTCCAGGAGACAATGGGGTCAGTGGAGGGATCATCCACCATTTCATACGTCTTGGCAAGGAAAGGCGGCAACGCATTGGCGCTATAACAAGCATCATCCATTGTATGCTGAACTTGAAGCGTTGGGCAGAGGCCGATAAAGACCAAGTCTAGCACCTGGTGGCTGAGGGACTGTTGGCCAGAGGTCGGTGAAGGGTAAAGGCCAAATCCAACACCCAACGTCTCGAAAATGTGTGGCGATCTCTAAAGAAATAAAGTTGCGCCTTTGCCAGTTATAGCTTTTGGCGTAAGTGGTAAACACTGGATCCTAACATGAAGTCCCTTCAATACAATCCAGGCCTCAAACTATAAACTCCAAGATTAAACCTGAAAACACACCTTAACATCACCCATCACAATCAGCATATGCAGCCCAGCCAGGAATTCTTGAAACCATTCTTAACCAAACCAATTTCACATTGCAGAAAGATCAATCATCAATCAACACCAGCTTCTATTCACCCCCAGAATTAAACAACAGTGATCTGGGGTTCTTTTTGTGTTCTCAAAACCCAATGAAACTTCAAGTTAGAATCAACAAAAAATGTCAAACCTTCTAATAGATTCCAGAAATAACTCCCAGCTAAGCAACAGCCTGGGACAGTCACTTCCACTAGCTATAATTCAGTAAGTCAATTCCAAGATTCCCATTTCCCATTTCCAATTTCCCCAATTATCATACATTTGAAGAACCCTCATAATCAATTCAATAAACACGCAAATCCCGCCTCAATTCCCTCCTGAAATCAATCAAATCCCCCACTTTATCAGCCAAAACCTTTCAATTACTGCCAAACCCAATAATATCAACATTCCAACAAGCAGAAAAATCTCCTAATTTCTTGTGTTCATGCAGCCCAACAACAGCCTATATTAAAAAAAAGTATAAGAAGAAGAGAAAGAAAATATATTTCTGGCCAAACCCATAGCGCCAATGTCGTTAAAGTTGTCGTCTTTTCCGCTCTCTACGAGTAAAAGCATCAAACTCTGTACTAGCACACATATATATACACATACCTAAAGGTTCTGTTCGTTTGCTGGCTTTTGTTTCTGTTTTTTTGATTTGTTTCTTTTGATTGTTGTCTCGGAAAGTCGGAATCCTCGATATGGGAGTGAGTGTACGACTTCTTCGGGGGATCTGTAAGAACTCAAGATTCGAGGTAGTGTCGGGTGAGGAGTTTTCTGGGCTATTCCAAAGTTTACTTGGGAAGACAAAAAAAAAAAAAAAAAAAAAGGAAAATGAATTATTTTCCTTTTTTATTTGTAACTATTTATTTATTTAATACACAAAATCAATTCTCATATAGGATGCATAGTTAGCATTGATGCATTACTCTCTTTTTTTTTCTTTTTTTTTTTAAGTAAAAAAATCATTAATTAGAACAATCCAACTCAAAAGCATTCATCATGAAATCAGAGTATTTAATCACTCCACACAACTAGGTAAAGAAATGACTTTGTTAAAAAAAAAATTGTTAATTTGATTCAAATAAAATTTATGTTTGAATCTCAAATGCTTGTAATCGTGTCCACAATAAGACAATTACAATTTTTACATTTATTTTGAATTGACTGATCAGTTAGTTTTGTTCGAGATTAAATAAAATTTTATTAAACTTAAAATTATTTATAATCTAAAAACATTATAAATCTTAATCCATATTATAATCCTGCCCCCTCCCCGCCCTCTTCCTTTAAAAAAAAAAAAAAATACATTATGCTATAAGAATTGTAATATACAATTTTTTGGACAAATATCCCTCTACCATTATAACTTATGTTATCTTTTTTTCATTATTATTACAATGCACATACATGCATAAACAAACTTATGATTCTTTACACCTTTGACCATCCACTTGGATGGGTAACCAGGATGCCATCACACTACATGGTAGTTGGCAATGAAAAATAAGTTTAATTTCATTAGATTTTAATTAAATGTTACCATAATTATATTTAGTAATTTATCACATATATATTTTTTTAATAATATCAATCATACCATAATTATTACTCAAATTATCAACTATATTGTTAATATAATACAAATTCTACATTTATAAATTTTAAAAGGTATATATACTATTATTTAAAAAAAAAATATTTTAATGTTGAGTATTAATACTGGGCATATATTTTTACGAATTACGCATATAAAATACTAAATGTATAATAATTGATTAAATTCAAAATATTTTATGAGAATTAGATAAATTCTATTTTTGGAATAAGGTTCAAATTGATCACTGAACAAAATGTGAAAATGCAATTTGGTCACTGAACGAAAAAGAAATGCAATTAGGTCACTCAACACTCTAAATATATGCAATTTCACATGATAATAGGTAAACACTCTATCTAGCAGGTTGCATAATAGTTAAAGTATCTAGCAGGTTGCATAATAGTTCAAGTATATATTCAATTTTTTTTTAAAAAAAAAATATATATATATATATATATATATATATTCAGTTTATATAAACTGAATTGTTTCACTTTTAGAAATTTAGTTACGATTAATTGATTTAAATAGATTTAGTCTCATAATTGTCAATTATTATGTTGAACTTTCAGTTGTTGATGTTGTATAATTATCAAACTCCATTAGTAAACTCTTTTTATGTGGTTATTTTTGTTATATAAAATCAATATCAATGGTTAAAGTTTATTATTGATCTCCATGGGAACGTTATTTTTAACCATATTAATTTTAAATGATAAAAATAATCTCATACATTAATGAAGTTTGACAATTATATAATACTTATTATAACCAAAAGTATAATATTATGAATAATTAATGAGTTAAATTTGTTTAAATCTTTATATATAATATCTTTATCTTTATCTTTATCTTTATCTTTTCTTTATATCTTTATCTTCTTTATCTTCTTCTTTATATCTTTATATCTTTATCTTTATCTTCTTTATATATAATAAAGCAGAATCCTAGCTTTCCCTCCAAAATTGTGAATAAGCTTTGGGAAAATGAGCTGCAACAATGGGATAGGTTTGACCCAGAAATTAAAAAAAAAATGTAATTATATATTGGCCCAATATTTATTATATTAAAACTTTTATTTTTATTAAGTTAGTGTGTGTGTGTGTGTGTGTGTATATATATATATATATATATATATATATATATATATATATATATATATATATATATATATATATATATATATATATATATATATCTGTATGTGTGTGCGCGCGCTAACTTTTTAATAGTTTGTAATTTTGATTAGTTTTTTTTTTTTTTTAATAATTTACAAAGAAAGTTAGGTAAAGTAAAATCAAGTAGGGAAAAAAACTTTCCGTCTAAGTCTGAATGCATATTAATAGATTTGTAAGATCATTATTTTTCTATTTTTTGTGTGTAAACTACGATGTGGTCCTGGTCTTTCTCTAGCCGTTTAACTTTGTAAGATCATTATTGTAAATGAGATTAGCAATATGAATGCATTTATTGTCTTTAACATTTAAATATTACCAGGGCGTTTGCACAGGGCCCCGAAATTTTGGGGGCCCCATACTTAAAAAAAAATATATATTATATATAATATGGGCATAAGCAGAATAGCCGTTAAGATTTAAGCTTTAATTTTCCTTCGGCAGATGGTGCAAGTGTGCAACGCGGCAACCCTATTATTCTATTAATATAAATATAATAGTATAGGTTAACAGGTAGCTTGAGTAATCTTACGCAAACTGCAAATCTCATAATTCACACACACACACTAAAAAAACAACTATAAATCGACAGGTATTTAAAATTACTAAATATTTTACAATTCTTGCTTATTGTATTTATTAGGACTCTATGTATCCGAGTCTGCTTAGAACTTCTTATCCTTGTGACACTGTGACTCTCTACTTCTTATCTTTGTCACATTGTGACTCTCTATTGTATATATTCACATCATCTGATCTCATTGTAATCAAGTCCAGTAAATACAATACAATCAGTTCTCATATGGTATCAGTAAACTAGGGTTTTTTCTTTGTCTCTCGTCTCTATGGCTGACGGACCTGTTAATTCCTCCGAACGGACCATGCCTGATGCTGCTATATCGTCAAGTTCTTCGTCAATTGTGTCGCTATCCACCGCGCATCACTTCATCAGTACCAAGTTAACCTACAAGAATTATTTGTTCTGGCGTACGCAAGTCGTCCCGTTTCTTCACGGGCATGACCTAATGGGATTTGTTGATGGTACGAAACCCTCACCGGCCGTTCTTCTTGCTCCCGACGCCGACACCGCCGACGCCATACCACGACCGAACCCCGCCTATACCATTTGGATGCGTCAAGATCAAGCATTGTTGTCCATGCTTGTCTCCTCCCTCTCCGACGAGGTCATGCCAATCGCCGTCGGACGTCGCACGAGTCGTGCCCTTTGGGAGGCCATTATTCAGACGTTGTCGTCTTCCTCCCGCGCCCGTGCGTTAAACTTTCTCGGCCAGTTGCAGGGACTGGACCATGGTGATTCGTCGGTTGCGGATTACATCGGGCGAGCTCAGGTGATTGTTGAAGAGCTCACCCTCACCGGCCGGGTCGTCTCCCTCGACGATCAGAATCTCTTTGTTTTTTCGCGGCTTGAGACCGAAATTTCGTGCCCTCACCGCGTCTCTCACCGTCCGTGGGGAGCCGGTCACGCTTCAGGAGTTGGCGGAATTTCACGGCACCAAGGAATTTATCGCCAGCCGTGATTACGACGGTGCTCCGACGGCTCTTGCTGTTCAGCGCGGTGGCGGCCGATCAGGTCGCGGAGGTTAGAACCGTGGCGGCGGTCAACGAGCAGGCGTTGGAAACGGTGGGTCCAATCGTGGTGGTAGCGGTAGACAGCAAGGTGGCCGTGGGCGTGGTGGTCGCGGTCACGAACGCAACAGTGGTGGCAATCAGGTTCAGTGTCAGATATGTAGGCGGACTGGTCACGAGGCTCATGTATGCTATAACCAGTATGATTCCCCACCCCAGGTCAATCTAACATATCAAGATAATTCAGATGTTGGTACTCCTCATACATGGATCCCGGATACAGGGGCAACTAATCATGTTACTCCGGACATCGCTGCTTTGACCACATCAAAAGAATATGTTGGCAATGACACCTTGCGTGTCGGTGACGGTATGGGTTTATCTATTAGTCATGTTGGCCATGCCTCTTTTAATACCCCTTCTAGATCATTCACATTGTTTGATATACTTCACGTTCCACGTTTGTCTAATTCTTTATTATCTGTTCAGAAGTTTGCATCCGATAATAAAGTCTTTTTTGAGTTTCACCACTCTTTTTTGTTGTGAAGGATATCAATACCAAGGAAATACTTCTTCGAGGGGACTATACACACTTCCATTACCTAGTTCGTCTCTGTCAGTGTTTTTTTCCGCTCATGTCTCGGCTTCCACTTGGCACGTGTCTGGGTCATCCTCATAACCGTGTTCTTAGCCATATACTTCGATCTTGTTTAGTTAGTGGATCTCGTGATAATATTCATTGTCATAATTCTTTATGCAATGCGTGTCAATTAGGCAAATCTGCCCGTTTCCCCTCCCTCGTGTTGCTTCCTCTAGTTCTCATGTACTAGATCTTATTTACACAGGCATTTGGGGTCCTGCGCCCACTTTATCTACTTCTGGCTTCCGTTACTTTGTGATCTTTGTGGATGACTATTCCCGGTATACATGGTTCTTCCCTATGAAATTAAAGTCTGATCTTTATGTCATCTTTGATAAATTTTGTACTCTTGTTGAACGGTCCTTTAATTGCAAAATAATTCAGTCTTATTTAGGTGCTGAGTACAAAAAGTTTCATTCTTTCGTTTGTTCAATTAGGAATTCAACATAGACAATCCTGTGCCTATACACATGAACAAAATGGTCGTGTTGAATGAAAACATCGTCACATTGTTGAAACTAGTCTAGCTCTTCTAGCTCATGCCTCAGTTCCTTTGAAATTTTGGGATTTTGCCTTTGAGCCTGCTGTCTATTTAATTAACAGA